AATAGCTGACTTGATCAAGCAGAAGAAAAACTCAGTGAGACTGAAGACAGGAACTTCAAAATTATCCAGCCAGAAGAGAACAATTAAAAAGAATGAAAAAGAGTGAAGAAAGTCTATGTGAATTATCGGATACCATCAAAGGAAATAATCTATACATTACTGCAGTTTCAGAAGGAGGTTGGAGGGAGAAAGAGATGGAAGGCTTATTTAAAGAAATAATGGCTGAGAACTTCCCAAATCTGGGGGGAGATTTGAACATCCAAGTTCATGAAGCTAGGTCCCAAAAACATTCAAACCCAAAAAGATCAATTCCAAGACACACTATAATAAAACTGACTAAAATCAAAGACAAAGAGAATTTCAAAAGAAGCAAGTGAAAAAATTTATGTGTAACTTACAAGGTAACCCCCGTAACGCTATCAGCAGAATTCTTGCAAGCAGAAACCTTGGAGGCCAGAAGAGAGTGGGATGATATATTCAAAGTACTGAAAGAAAAAAATTGCCAACTAAGAATGTTTTACCCAGCAAAGATGTCTTTCAAAAATAAAGGAGAAATAAAGACTTTCCACGACAAACACAAACAGAGAGCGTTCATCACCACTAAATCTGCCTTATAAGAAGTCCTGAAGGAGTTCTTCAAGCTGAAATCAAATGACACTAATTAGTAACATAAAAAAACATGAAAATATAAAACACACTGGTAAAAGTAAGTATATAGTCAAATTCAGAATACTCTAACACTATAATATGCTGGCATATTAATTTTAACATAAAGGTTAAAGGAAAAAAGTATTAAAAATAACAATAGCTCCAACAATTTCTTAATGGATACACAATATAAGGTGTAAATTGTGACATCAAAAATATAAAATGTGGGTAGGAGGAGTAAATGGGTAGAGTTTTTATATGGGATTAAAGTTAAGGTGATATCAGCATAAAATAGACTGTTTACAAGTTTATGGAAGCTTACTGGCAACCACAGAGAAAAAAATTACAGTAGATACACAAAAAGTAAAGAGAAGGAAATCAAACTATACCATTATGGAAAATCAACAATTCACTAAGGAAGACAACAACAGAAGAAGGAAGGGACACAGGAATTATAAAAGAGCCAGAAAACAATTAACAAGATGGCGTTAGTAAGTCATTACCTACCAACAATTTAAATAAATGCATACGTAAATAAATACATTTAAATAAATATAAATGGAATAAATCCTCCAATCAAAAAGCATGCAATAGCTGAATGGGTTAAAATAATATAATCCAACTTCATGATGCCTACAAGACTCATTCTACCTTTAAGGGTAAATATATGCTCAAAGGGAAGACAGAAAAAGATATTCCACATAAATGTAAACTAAAAGAGACCAGGGATAGCTATACTTATAAAGACAAAATAGACTTCAAGTCAAAAACAAGAAAACAAAGAAGGTGATTATGTAATGACAAAGGGGTTAACTCATCACAAGGCTATAACAATTATAAATATATATGCACCTAAACAACAGAGCACCTAAATAAACTGAACAAATACTAACAGATCTGAAGAGAGAAAAAGACAGCAATATGAAAATAGCAAGGGATTTCAATACACCACTTTCAATAACAGATAGATCATAAAACCAAAGAAATAAATAAGAAATCATTAGACAAATTATACTTTAGACCAAACGGACCTAACAGACACATAGAGAACATTCCACCCAATATCAACAGAATACACATTCTTCTCAAATACACACGGAATATTCTCCATGAAAGATAACATATTAGGCCACAAAACAAGTCAAACTCAAGAAGACCGAAATTATATCAATTATCTTTTCTAATCACAATGATACAAAAGTAGAAATCAAGAAGAAGAAGAAAGCTGGAAAATTCACAAGTATGTGGAAATTAAACAATACCCTCCTGAATGACCAATGGATCAAAGAAAAAATCAAAAAATATCATGAGACAAACAAAAATGGAAACACCAACATACCAAAACTTATAATATGCAGAAAAAGCAGTTCTGAGATTGAAGTTTATAGTGATAAATGCCTACAATAAGAATAAAGAAAAAGAAAGAAGAAAAAAAAGAACAATGGAATACTACTCAGCCATAAAAAAGAGAAATCTTGCCATCTGCAACAACATGGACAGACCTTGAGGATATTATGTTAAGCAAAATAAATCAGATGGAGAAAGTTAAATGCCATATGATTTCACTCATAAGTGGAAGATAAAAACAACAAACACACACATAGATACAGAGATCAGATTGGTGATTACTAGAGAGGCTGAGGGGAGGGAGGAGGGTGAAAGGGTTGTTAGGGCATATGTATATGGTGATGGATGGTAATTATTCTTTGGGTGGCAAACATGATGTCGTCTACAAAGAAATCGAAATATAATTTTGCACACCTGAAATTTATATAATGTTATAAACCAATGTTACCTAAAGAAAAAAAGAAAGATCTCAAAAAAAAACAACCTAACCTTATACCTCAAGAAAATAGAAAAAGAAGAATGAATTAAGCCCAAAATTAGCAGAAGAAGGATAAAGATCAGAGAAGAAATAACTGAGATAGATGCTAGAAAAACAATAGAAAAGATCAATGAAATTAAGACCTAGTTATTTGAAAAGATAAACAAAATTGAAAAACCTTTAGCTAGACTAATGAAAATAAAAGAATAAAATAAACAAAATTAGAAATGAAAGAGGAGACACTACAACTGATACCACAAAAATACAAAGGATCATAAGAGACTACTATAACAATTATACACCAAAAAATTGGATAACCAAGAAGAAATGGACAAATTCCTAGAAATATGCATCCTACCAAAAACGAATCATAAAGAAATAGAAAATCTGAACAAACAAATTATGAGTAAGTAGATTGAATCAGTAATTTAAAATCTCTTAACAAAGAAAAGTCCTGTGCCAGATGGTTTCACTGGGGAATTCTACCAAAGATTTAAAGAAGAATCAATACCAATCCTTCTCAGAGTCTTCCAAAAAATTGAAGAGGAGGGAACACTTCCAAATTCATTTTACACAGCCAGTATTACTTTGATACCAAAGGCAGAAAAGGACATTACAAGAACAAAAATTATAGGGCAATATCCTGATAAACAAAGATGGAAAACAATTCTCAACAAGTATTATGGACACATCTACGGATGGCTAATCTTTGACAAAAGAGCCAAGAACATACAATGGAGAAAGGAAAGTCTCTTCAATAAATGGTCTTAGGAAAACTGGACAGCCACATGCAAAAGAATGCAAGTAGACCATTATCTTACACCATACACAAAAATTAACTCAAAATGGATTAAAGATTTGAATGCAAGATCTGACACCATAAAATTCTTAGGAAAAAATATAGGCAGTACACTCTTTGACATCAGTCTTAGCAATATCTTTCCGAATGCCATCTCTACTGAGGCAAAGGCAACAAAAGAAAAAATAAACAAATGGGACTACATCAGATTAAAAAGCTTCTGCACAGCAAAGGAAATCATCAACAAAACAAAAAGACAACCAACGAACTGGGAGAAAATATTTGCAAATCACATACGTGGCAAGGGGTTAATTTCCAAAATATATTAAAAAAAACTCTTACAACTCAGCAACAAAAAAACAAACAACCTCATCAAAAAATCGGCAGGGGACATGAACAGACATTTTTCCAAAGAAGATATACAGATGGCCAACAGGCACAAGAAAAGATGTTCAGCATCACTAATCATTAGGAAAATGCAAATCAAAAACTACAATGAGATATTACTCTACACCTGTTAGAATGGCTATAATTACCAAGACAAAAAACAATAAATGTTGGAGAGGATGTGGAGAAAAGGGAACCCTTGAACACTGCTGGTAGGAATGCAAACTGGTGCAGCCACTATGGAAAACAGTATGGAGATTTCTCAAAACAACTAAAAACAGAAATACCATATGATCTGGCTATTACACTACTGGGTATTTATCCAAAGAATATGAAATCAACAATTCAAAAGCTTTATGCACCCCTATGTTCACTGCAGTATTATTCACAATAGCAAAGCTGTAGAAGCAATCCAAGTGCCTATCAACAGATGAATGGATAAAGAAGATATGGTATATCTATTTACATATCACATGATCTTAAATATAGAAAACCATAAAGCCTTCACCAAAAAACTCTTAGAACTAATAAAGGAATTCAGTAAAGTTGCATGACACAAAATAAACATATAAAAAAATGGGTTGCAGGGCCAGCCTCATGGTATGCGTTCAGCACACTCCACTTTGGCAGCCCAGATCTGTGGGTTCAGATCCCAGGTACAGACCTACACCACTCGTCAGCCATGCTATGGTGGCAACCCACATATGAAGTGAAGAAAGTCTGGCACAGATGTTAGCTCAGGGCTAATCTTCTTCAGCAAAAAATTTTTAAAAAAAGGTTGCATTTCTTACACTAACAACAAACCATCAAAAAGAGAAATTAAGAAAACAATATCTTTTACAACAGCATCAAGAAGAATAAAATATTTAGGAACAAATTTAACCAAGTAAGTGAAATCTGTACACTGAAAAGCATAAGACATAGATGAAAGAAACTGAAGAAAACACAAATGGAAAAATATCCCATGTTCATGGATTGGAAGAATTAAGATTGTTAAAATGTCCATACTACACAAAGCCGTCTACATATTTAATGCAATCCCTATCAAAATTCCAATGCCATTTTTCATAGAAATACAAGAAACAATCCTAAAATTCATATGGAACCACAAAAGACTCTAAATAGCTATCTTGAGCAAAAAGAGCAAAGCTGAGGCATCACACTTCCTGATTTCAAACTATATTACAAAGCTATAGTAATCAAAATAGTAAAAGCATGCCTAGACTGGCCATTATTCTAGGGTTGTTTGACTTTACTCTTAATATGCAGTCAAACTGGGTCTTTACTGAAGACCCATGTGTTCACCAAGTTCTTTCCACTCTGGCTAATTAGAATGCGTACCTCCATTTCTCAGTCTCTCTGTGCTAGTTCCTTTTTCTATCCTCCAAGGTGTTGGCAGTCTTTAAAGTCTCATTTTCAGCCCTATGCTCATAGTAGTAGCTGTTATAGCAAAAGAAGCAAATATTTACTGTGCTGTTATCATGTGCTAGGCACTGTGTTAAGAGCTTCAAATAAGCTCTTTGATTCCTCATAAGAATTCTATAAGTAATCATGTTATCCTCAATTCAAATATACAAAAAATTAGAGAAAATAACATATTGAACCTCCATGAACCTATCATTCAGCTTCAACAATTATCAACATTTTGTCAATCTTGATTCATTAATCCCCACATACATATTTTTACCCATTGCAGTATTTTAGAGCACATATTAGAAATCATCCATAAATACTTCAATATCTATCTTTAACAAGGTGCTTACTGATTCTCTGATAAACTCTATTTTATAGTTATAGAGTGTGGCAATAGTGGATTCGTGCCTGTGTTGAATAACAGATTCCCTGTTGCCAGAGACACAAAATCCAAATTCCTTAGCATTCCTTATATTCTTTGGCATATAAGACTCTTTCAATATAGATCCAACCTACCTTTCCTGCCTTACCATCCATCACCATACTATGCCCTAGTCAGTCGGACTATTTGCCATTCCCTAAACATGCCTTGCAATTTCATGCCTCTATATTTCTGCTTTTGCTATGCAAAGCATTCTATAATACCCTGTTCCTATCTGGCAGAATTCTAGGTATCCAGTAGACAATTCTTGTATAAAAGCTGATCCTGAAACAACAAAATGGGAGTAAATATAAACTCTCTTGAATTTCATTCTTTTCCTCTTGAGTATATGTTTTATAAAAAGCACAAAATTGTCATCAAATATCTGTTGTCCTTTTTCTTAATTTTATCTTATTCTCTTATTCTTTAGTTCTTTATGTATGTTCTTAAGAAAGCTAGTATTTTGGCAAGCCTAACAAATAAATAACATGACATATCACCAGAAGATAATACTCTGTCTCAAAAACTTTTGATCTCTAAAATTATAAAGCTAAAATAAGTTTTACCCTAGAAGTGTATACTGCAAAAAAAGTCTTCAAAAAACTGCAAAAGACAAGAAACTATCATTCTTAAAATAATTTAACATAAAATTTAGTAGTACATATTTCCTGCATATAATGCTTCTCAAACTGTACAATTTTAACATAGGGTTGCAAAAATATATAACTGAAAGGGTATTTTATAATCACCCCAGTTTCTCCTTCACAATGTTCACTATATCTTACTAGAAAGTATTTACAGAGATGAAAACAATTAGGCTTTGAGAGTTCTTTTTACACTGCTTGATAGAAAGAAATATTTTACCATTTACTAATATTTCTGAATGGTATATTTGCTATCTAGTCCAGAAATCATTTTATTTGGGCTAATTCAAGTTTTATTTATTAGTATACATCATACATAACTAAAGATATACTTTAATAAGTCATCTTTTTTTTCTTTAACCACTAACAGCTATGAAAAACCTATTGAAATTTTTTACTTATTGTGACCATAACATTAAGACACATAAAATACGAAATAAGAATGCATTTTTTTTAAATTTTAAGTTTGTGGAATCATTAAATGATTATCTTTTACAAATAATAAAGAATTTTTACTGTGGTTCCACAAAATATCACTACTACAAGAAATGAAATTCAATTATTAATACTGTCTTTCCATCTGTTAATTTTTTTAAGTTTAGGATTTAGGAATACAAATACAAGCTATTAAGAGGTATACAGATATGTTTCGTTAATAAACGCTACAATAATCTGATTCTAGAGTGGAGTTGGTATTACCAAAATATACAATCTTAGAAGTACCACATTAGCCCAAAATAAAGAAATTAAAGGAGTCTGATCAGACAAAATGAGTTCCAACACTTTAGATTAGTGCAATTTGGTTTCTTCAATTTGATTAGCTTGTCAAATCATTGCTAAGAATAATCACAAAATGGCCTCTCCCACAGACTCTAAACACCTTTATTGTAGGAAAAAGAACTTAGAAAATAGGTATCAGGTTCTGAGCACTTTTCCTTAACTCTAAAATAGAACTCTGATTACCCTGCTGGAGAAGCTAAATGGAGAGGGAGAGACCTTGAGACTAGATGGCGAAGCCTAGCTATTTCGGTGGTCTGGCTGAGGACAGCATTCCAGCCATCCATGCCAAGATGCCAGACATGTGAGTAAATACTCTTGGACATTTCAGCCAGCTGAGCTCCCAGATGACTGTAGCCACAGATTATATCACATGTACCAGAATAACTGCCCAGATGACCTCAGTCAAGGCACAAAATTATGAGAGAGAAAATGGTGACTAGTTTAATCCACCAAATTTTGGGACACTTCATTGTACAGTTAACAGAAAATATTTTAACATTATCATCATTCACGTCTCACTCAACTAAGGTTTTCAGGCCACACACTGTGCATCAATTTGATATGGTAATCACAAACACACAATAATTTCAATGACCATGGTTCTCCACACTGATCCCCAAACACTAGTATTAGAAGCAAGGTGGTGGAGTGGTCAAGATCACAAATATTACTAAAATTAAATAAATAAATTAAATGCATGTAATATCACAAATTACAGCTTCCCAATCATTTATAAGATTTCTTATTTATTCAAGTTCCAAATTTCTGACAATTTTAAATCAAGAAAAAAAACAGAGGGGCCAGCCCGGCGGCTCAGCGGTTAAGTGCACACATTCTGCTTCAGCAGCCTGGGGTTCACTGTTTCAGATCCTGGGTACGGACATGACACCGCTTGGCAAGCCATGCTATGGTAGGCGTCCCACATATAAAAAGTAGAGGAAGATGGGCACAGATGTTAGCTCAGGGCCAGTCTTCCTCAGCAAAAAGAGGAGGACTGGCAGCAGATGTTAGCTCAGGGCTAATCTTCCTCAAGAGAAAAAAACACAAAGTACAGATAGAAATTATTTCCACAGAGGCATTCCTGAGATGAAAATAACACCTGAAAGTGTGTTTTAAAACTAGAAATACAAGGAAAAAATTACCTATGAACAGTGGCTCTCAGCCAGGGGAAATTTTACCACCACACTTCCTGCCCCAGGACCTTTGGCAATGGTCTGGAGACATTTTTCATTGTCACAACTTGAGGGAGTAAAGTTACTGACATCTAGTGAGTAGAGGTCATATATGCTGTTAAACATCTTATATAATGTACAATACAGCCCTCCACAACAAAGAATTATCTGGCCCAAAATGTAAACAGTGCCAAGCATGAGAAGCCCTGGCTATGAGGAATTAAAATTTGAAAATACTGTCTTTTTATAATCATTACCTTAGAAACTTACAAAATGAGTGATTCTACTGGCAAAACAGGTGGTTAGAACCCTGAGCAATTTTCCTTTTTAATAAAAATAATGCGATAATTCTGATATTTTCCATACAATAAAAAGCATAATATATTAATTAAGCTACGGAAAATATGAAATAAAAGCTGATAATATTAATTATATGAAAGAGTAAGCAGAAATAAATTTTTGGAAATGCATTACTGGAGAAGAATGTTCCTACATGTATTATGACTGCCAACTAAAATATATTTTGTTCGATCAAATTAACATTAATTGGTAACAGAATAAAACAAAATCTAGTTTATTAAATTAGTATCTGCACTTACAAGTCTTGTTTAAATTCACATTTTAACAAGAATATCATAATCACAAACACTTATCTAGTGGAACATTATTTGAAAGTTTTTTCCATTTTTTATTTTAGAAATAAATTCATCTAAATAATCACATGGCTCCACAGGACTAGGCCTATGAATAAGTCAGTGTACTTTTTTGTCAAATATTTGAAGGAAAAAATATTAAATGTCTTAACTAGACTTTTTCAAAATAAGCTTTACAGCTATGACCATACATGCATCTTCTGTCCTGTTAAAAAAAAAAACATTTTAATACTGCTGAAACAGAGCAGAGTCTGATACAGGTCTGTAAAGGAACGAATGAGTGTGGCTATTGTAAAAGATTAAGAGATGAACATGCAAGAATTGTTTTTATATCAAACGAACATACTAGGCAGCTTCCTACATTACAAAAGGTAACAACAAACTTTTCATTACCTTTATATTTGGTTTCTTTGTTGAAACTCCTCTGTACCAACCTAAAACAAAGCATACAAAGAATATTAAAATCATACTGTTGTCATTTTTCTATAAGAGACATAATGAGTATTTCTAGGAAAAAAATTAATTAATGAAAAACTTTGGAGTATTTTATTCAGGAAAAAACCCAGTCTTACAATAAATACAACATTCCCAATTTTCACCAAAAGGCACAAAGCCCTTTCAACTGAATAAGGCACAACAAATTAGAAAAGACCTCAGAGGACATGTAATCTAACTCTAGGAAAATTCCCAGATGAAACTGTTAGGGGCAGGAAAATGCCAAAACCATATCACTTTTTCAATGGCAGATAGGGAGTACAGCCCAGACTTTCTGTTTCCTGATCTCATTCAATCTCTCATGTACTAAATTATAGTATCCTCACTTCTTAGCTTTCCAGCTGCTAAAGTTGACATTCGTGCTTCATTTATTCCCTCTCAGCATTCATACACAGCAATAATGATGAAAGTCAACTACACAATAAAAACAATTTTCAGAGAAAGGAAATTTTATTGCCAACTTTTCTCAATTCCAAACTATTATCTGCAGAGTTTTGCTATAGTTTCTCTGCTTGGGTTTAAGAGGAAACAGCTCCAATGAGATAGAAAGGAAGGCAAGAATTCTATTTAAAAGAGGAAGATGAAGAAGAAAAGAAAGAGGAGATTATTGATAATAGCTAATATTAATTGAGAGCTTACTGTTCTTAATTCTGTGTATTGGAATTGAGAAGTTGTTCCATGTATTAACCTTTAAATCTTACAACAAAGCTGAGGAGAACAATCCACTTTTTCTCCCCTGAACTCATAACAAACATCCTTGCTTCTGTTTAGCACAACAGCTGAGATCATAATTTGAATGACACCTTGAGTCTCAATATCTTCATTTATTAAAAAATAATTTCATTTTTGGGGCTGGCCCCGTGGCCGAGTGGTTAAGTTCGCGCGCTCCGCTGCAGGCGGCCCAGTGTTTCCTTAGTTCGAATCCTGGGCACGGACATGGCACTGCTCATCAGACCACGCTGAGGCAGCGTCCCACATGCCACAACTAGAAGAACCCACAACGAAGAATACACAACTATGTACCGGGGGGCTTTGGGGAGAAAAAGGAAAAAATAAAATCTTTAAAAATAATAATAATAATTTCATTTTTAAAATAAAATTAATTTATTAAATACATATTAAATAAAATAAAGAAATATTTAAATCTTCATTTATTAAAAATTTTAAAAGTGATAATAACCTTATCAACGTGATACTTTACAGTGTCTTAAGAAACAGAATAGAGAATGACATCAGCAGGTATGGCAGAGTAAGGATCTCTAAAAAGCCTCTCCTCAAGAAAGAAAATTTAGAACTCTGGAAGTAAACCAAAGACTTGAAATAAGCCAAAGCGTATTTATTCAAGAAATCTGAATCTTGATAAGAACAATGACCTTTTTAACTTGCCCCATCCCATCTCCCTTTCTGCAGCCCTGTGTTAAACTTGAAAACCAAAAGCCCTGCGTTCACGGTGAAAATCAAAAATACCTAATGGCCCCTGAAGAGGATAGAACAGGGGAAATCAAAGAAGACCTAAATAAATGAACAGGTTTACCATGTTCACCAATTGCAAAATTCAGTATTGTTAAGATGTCAATTAACCCCAAATTGATCTACAGATTCAATGCAATCTCAATCAAATCCCAGCAAAAGTTTCGGTAGGTACTAACAAGTTCTTTCTAAAATGTAAATGGAAAGGCAAATGACTACTAGAATAATCAAAACAATTTTGAAGAGGAAAATAAATTTGAATGACTCACATAACTTGATTTTAAGACTCTATATAAACCTACCATAACTGAGATAGCGTATTACTGGCTAAAGGATAGACACACAGATCAATGAAATAGATTGGAAAATCCAGAAACCCACACATAAATGAACAATTGATTTTTAACAAAGGTGTAAAGGTGCTTCAGTGGAGAAATGATAAGTCTTTTCAAAAATTGTGCTGAAACTACTGGACATATATATACAAAAAAAAAGAAAAGAAAAGAACCTCAACTTATACCTTTGCACTATAAACAAAATTACCTCAAAATGTACATTAGACCTGAACAGGTACCCAACCAAAACAGATATACAGATGGCAAATAAACATATGAAAATATGCTCAACATTTTATGTGATTTAGAATTGCAAATTAAAACAAGATACCACTCGAGGCTGGCCCTGTGGCCGAGTGGTTAAGTTAGCGCATTCTGCTTCGGTGGCCTAGGGTTTTGCTGGTTTAGAT